GGCTGTTAGAGAAAGTGCTATTATTAGCGAGCACCTATTTTTTATTACAGCCAACACGGCACACAAAGGGGGCAGTGGTAAGTACCACTGCCCCGGCTGCGTTTGTCTCCCCAATGCTGCTGCTGAAAAACCACCGCAGTTTTACACCGCAGTGGTTTTTCGGCACAGTACGCTAAACGCTATACTACCCCCCCCCCCTACGTGCACAATTATAATTGAGATTTACAGAGCGTCTAAATTCAACTACATGTCAAGATAACATACAAAACGGTGCAATGTGTATCGTAGAGCCAGCGGAACCATATACCGTATCAAATATATCTACAGTATTCTTTTTGAATTGGAACAGTCAGTGATGTGTTCCTTTGAAATAATCTATTCATATCTCTTCATATTTTGCAAGGCTTATGGAAAAGACGAGTCCTAATTGAATTCACATTGATTTGGTAGGCCTTGAGGTCATTGCATTATTTAATGGAGTCAGTGCTACTGTGATTTGGTTTCGCAAGTGTATTTGTTGAGATGAACCGTACATTTGCAGGGTGATGATTTTTTTTATAAAGTGTACATGAAATTGTATCACAGTACACATATTTAGTGCTTATAATGTAAATGATATAAACAATCCATAAATTATGAGACCTTTGCCAGTAACAAGATATAGTAATAGGTTTTTACCCTTTTATCTGGCACAAAAACTGACACCTTTATACAAGGGATCATGTTTGCCATAACCACAACACAAGTAGTCAAAATGCAAACAAAAAAGACACCTCTGATAATATGCACTGTCCTTGAATTTGATTGGTCCACACCCGAGACGGCTTTTCTTAGAGCCCAGTCTCCACTGGTGTTGGACCAGAAGACGCCAAACGGCGTACAACTCAAAAACAGCGCACCATCAGAGTATTGAGATTATTGAGAGCTTGTGCGCTGTTTTTGAGTTGTACGCCTTTTGGCGTCTTCTGGTCCAACACCAGTGGAGACTGGGCTCTAAGAAAAGCCGTCTCGGGTGTGGACCAATCAAATTCAAGGACAGTGCATATTATTATCAGAGTTGTCTTTTTTGTTTGCATTTTGACTACTTGTGTTGTGGTTATGGCAAACATGATCCCTTGTATAAAGGTGTCAGTTGTTGTGCCAGATAAAAGGGTAAAAACCTATTACTAAATCCATTAATTATATATATAAACATATACAAAAGTCACATGCACATATTCACTTAGAACAAGTTAATCAATCCCGATATTCAAATGTAAAAAAAATCAGCCACTGTATAGTAGCATACATTTGCAGAATTTCACCGGTTTCATTGGCTAAAAATTTGTATTCATAGTTATTTTTATGGCACCTATAAAACGGTCCATTTAACTCTTTAAAAATCTATTACAAAATTAACTTTGAAAATAGACTTATTTTAGAAGCTTAGACCTGTATTTACAGCAGCCTTTAATAGAAACCATGAGGATGGGGGCGCTGCACTTTCACTCAACAATTAAACCGGGGTAAGTGAGATGCCCTTGCTCAGTGTTTTTTTTCATGGAGTGCCCTTGCCAATAACATCTGGTAATCTAATTCTAGATTTTAAGCTTTCATGACTGCAAGGATTCATACTCTTTGGTTTTTTTCGGTAAAGTCAAGTAGGTAAAATAAAAAACTCAATTAAATCACGACGTTTCGGAGGCAACACAAGCTTCTGTCTTTAGGTGGAACAGACACAGCAAAGATAAGGTTAGCGTCTCGATGAGCTGTGACTTCTTATCTCGTTGTCTGTTAAAAGCTCTAACAGATAGGTGAAAATCCTCCCCGTAGAGGTAATTAATTATAGATTTAATCTAACAGCATTTGTTTAAACACATTCCTGCGGAGGGAGCTGGTAGGAACGTTGGGTTGTTCGGCCAATGGCCAGGGTCAATGGCCAGGGTCAATGGCCAGGGTCAATGGCCAGGGTCAATGGCCAGGGTCAATGGCCAGGGTCAACGGCGGCGTGGTAAGGGCGGGCACAAGCCGGCGTGAGTAGGTTAAACTTTGAGTTTTATAAGGGCACCACGGGATGACCAGCCCCTCCCCACCCAGCCCCACCCCTCCCACCCCTCCCACCCCCCACCCAGCTCCACCCTCCCCTCCCAGCCCCTCCCCACCCTCCCCTCCCCACCCAGCCCCTCCCCACCCTCCCCTCCCCACCCAGCCCCTCCCCACCCCCTCCCCACCCCACCCAGCCCCTCCCCACCCCCTCCCCACCCCACCCAGCCCCTCCCCACCCCCTCCCCACCCAGCCCCTCCCCACCCCCTCCCCACCCCACCCAGCCCCTCCCCACCCAGCCCCTCCCCACCCTCCCCTCTCCACCCAGCCCCGCCCCTCCCATTTTTGGATGCACGACGGACGGACACAGTAATCCCCTGTGGGCTGCTGGTGTAGCCAGGAGGTTCCTACCAGTACAAGCCTGACTCTGATAGTGAGATCCAAAAGGTCAAAAATGGTCTCGTTTGCTTTCTTAAGTGGATGCTCAAACGATGAAAGTTTCTATTTTACCAGGTACAACCCACTGAGCTATATAGCTCTTTTCAGAAGCGACCTGGCCACAAATGATAGCTCGACAAAGTGGCTTATCATTTTTACATTTATAGCAGCCAAATACTCGAAACGTATGTTTCTAATTGCTGCTTGATATCGGTCTGGACAGCCAATAGGCTGACGGATTTACAAAAAATGGAGACGGAACATGGTTCAGCTTATATTTTGCTCTTGCCCACAGCGATAGCTTTCCTCAAAGTGCATATGTTTTGCATTTTCACCTTTGCAGTCATATAACCATGGGCGGGTTCACACATTTTTCATCACTAGGGCTGTTTTGCATGCATGTCCCTTGCCGGAGTTCTGTAACATTGCAATGCATTTGGGTGGTTGAACATAATATCATGAACATGGCCTTTGCCCTCAACAGTTCACTGTTGGCAGCACTGCTGACGCTCTCTGATTGAGAAGTACCAACTTTATTATCGATAGCTCCGTACGTTTCACGAGCATCATGGTCGCATGGCACACACACAAAAAGCAACCTCCACGCATCTGCTGCGCAGGCAGGAAATTTCGGTGCTCTTGCAGATAGCAACAACTTGCAGGCCTAATAAGCTGTATGAATGCTGATGTTTTTTTTTCAAAATTGGCTGGAATACCAACCACATGTGACCTCATTGAAAGCAATCACGCGTCTCTGCTGTCTGCATACTAATGTAATGGGGAGTATAAGAAAGAGGAAATAAACTCCGTGCGATGCGCGTCAAAAGGGGCTTCCTATTAAAATGAATTATAAATGACAGCATTTTTAATTTGCGCTTTTATCCGTGTTGTTGAGTGTTGATAATTACAAAGTGCTCCGAATTTAAAAGCGTTTTAAATAGTTGTGTATTCTTTGCAGCATATATACATAAATACCTTATGCACACTTTTTGTCAGGCAAATTAGTAAAATTGTATATATACATTTTGTCATTGATGTTGGTGGGAGCACCTTTTCCATTGTCATTATTGGTGAGTTTAAGCCATCAGGCTCGGTGGAGCTGTGCCGAGTGCACTTAACTACATCGTAAAGTTGCAAGCCCATATTCTGCTGGGGGATTACTCAGGTTATCATCTTTTGGGTACCAATAAAATTGGTACCAGTTTGTGGAAAATCAACATGGGCCATCTTTTGGAGAGATAAGCTCCCATTACCGGAGTGTGGAATTTCCACCACTGGCTCAGGGTTGGGGATGGAGATGAACATTACCCCATCGCTTGTTTGAGCAGAGAGACACGAAGGGTCACCGTCAGTAACGCGCGGCGGCTCTGGTTTGGCGTCCAAGATGGATCGGATCGGCTCAGGCTGAAGCTGCTCAGTTGTTTTCAAATACACATGAGTGGCTCAGCGATGGCTTGGCTCAGCTCAAGGGAATGCTGAGCATGGCTGGGACCATGCTCATTAGAGTTGGCTCAAGTCATGTGTGGCTTTGAGCTGGCGAACTTTTGCCAGAGCCAAGCCTTAGCCGAGCCATGACTAAGAATACAGTTCTAAGTCTTCAGTTTCAACCACAATGGAGTGACGAGCAAATAAGCTCTCAATTGTATTTGTCACAATGTAATTGTTGTCTTCATGGCCTGTTAAACCGTATGTTATTTGTAATATGTATGTGTGCTGTAAAAGTGAAGTATATCCACGCTGAGCCCTGCAGTGGCAACAGTTTAAGCAACCCACAGTTCACCCTGCTCATAAATTACTGGAGTTGAATAAAATGCCTGAAGCTTTGAAAGCTGAAATCTCGCATCCTTATGGGACAAAGTGGCGAACAGTGCATTAGATACAATATAACATTATACATTAAATCCCAAGCAAAGTGAAGGATAAGCCTTGGGTCTTTTTAAAAATGCGATATAGTCATGAAAGATTTAAACTTTTTTTTTAACTAAAGCTCTCAGTGGCATAAAACAGATTATATATATAACAAAATATCTAAATATGACTTTATTTTGTATCCCTGTCTGTATGTAGTATGCATAACACGGTATACCCTGTATGACAATCAGACAGAGTATAAACCCTAGCCATCTTTTCACTGAATCTATAATTGCATTTCTCTCAGGGCAATAAACTCAGTAGCATTATTTTGTAAGTAAACAGTGGTCATGCTATGATTACACTGGTCCACACCTTAGGAATACACAATTTAAACTCCTGGCTTGGAATCATCAATGGAGATGAGCACCACCATGTACCCACTTACTCATTCTGTGGATAGACTGATCCCCACTTTAGGAATGTGGAATTGCCACAGATGGCTTGGGATCACCAGTAGAGATGTGCATCGCCTAATGCTCACACAGGCAAGGGGACAAATTCCACTTGGCGTTGACACAAGCGAACCTCGTCTAAGCTGGCAGGGGTAATTTTTCCGTAAGCAGTGTAAGCCAGGGCCCAGCGTGCCCACTAATTAATGACTTGTGCTCCATGTTCCCTGGGACAGGTGACCGGTGGCTGCAGCCGCTGCCAGATGATTTGCATTGACCAGCAGACAGCAGAGCGCTGCCATGAGCCTCTGCGCACACTGGCCAGCCAGCACCGCAAGAAGGTAACCACCAACCAGCGCTGTTTGCTTGATATTTTACATCAGGTTGCCAGTGGCAGTGTAGGAGTCTGGCAATGTACGTTTCTCGCACTAAACCAGGTGTAGATTTTACACATTCCTGTTTTGAAGGTACCGCCTGTGTTAAAATTGAAAACCTGAATCCACATAAGCCAGGCATTCTTACCAGAGTCTGCACAGCCCTTTAGGGCCACGTGGATCATTAGATTGTCTATATAAAAAAAAAAAAAAGCTATTCCATGGTCCGTAATTATAATACAAATTGTACTTGTAAAGTGACATGGATTACATGACGTCAGAGGCATCTGTACTTACATCTGTCGTGATTTAACACGCGCATACAGGGGGGAATGGTAAAGACGCGCGAGTTATGGACAGTGGGGTTACGTCGGGCCGGCCAGGTGTGGCGGCGGGAAACGGTGCAGTAATGACGGGCCAATTAAGCTGGAGAGCGATGTACGGCTGTGATTGGCTGGGGTTGTTGTCAAAGGCGGAGTGGCGCCGGGATGTCTGGGAATAGAGGGGGACAAGTAACAGGTGCGAGGGGACGCGGGGCGTTGGTGGCACGCGGCCTAATTAATTGGTTGGTAATAAGAACGGGGATATATTTGGGAGACGGGAAGAACGGGGGGGGGGGAGTTGTGGTTGGGACTGGAATGACGCAGGTGTGAGAGAAACGGGGAGAAGACATAGGAGACAGAACAGCTAGCAGTGGAGCAGAGACAAGCGGAGACAAGGAGCGACTGAGAGTGATAGAGAGAAGCAGAGACAGAGGGAGACAGAGAGAGACATAGATACAGAGAGAGACAGGGAGAGATAACCAAAGTGAGTCATAGAGAGAGAGGGAGACAGAGAGAGATAGATGGAGTGAGACAGAAAGAGACAGAGATGCAGAGTGGGAGAGAGACAGAGACAGCGAGCGACGGAGAGAGACAGAGACAGCGAGCGACGGAGAGAGACAGAGACAGCGAGCGACGGAGAGAGACAGAGACAGCGAGTGACGGGGAGAGACAGGGACAGCAAGTGACGGAGGGACAGAGACAGCGAGCGACAGAGAGAGGGACAGAGACAGCGAGCGACGGAGAGAGGGACAGAGACAGCGAGGAACAGAGAGAGACAGTGGGAGACGAGGGAGGAAGCGGAGCGAGCGAGACGGGCAGAGCGCGGCGAGCGAGCTGCGGCAACAGAGGAACTGTGAAGTTTTAGACGTAATGTGGAGAGTTGTAATAAAAGTGGTGTCGGAGAAAAGAATAAAGTTGTCCGCGTGAAGTCGACCACTACACATCCACATGCGAGCACCCATGTTCCAACCACTGGTCTAATATCGCAAAGGTAAATAATTGTGACCCCTAGGTAAATGCTCGAACATACCCTACTTAACGGCAGCCAACACCACCCAGACTGCTAGCTACTTTTTTTTCTTGCCGTTGGTTTTCACACCTGATGACCGTTTGTGTTATGGTCGAAGCGTCGTGAGAATTTTATTGTTTTAGATATATTTTATTATTTTATTATTTCCCTTCAACGTGACTTTACCGAAAGAGCTAAGAATATGCTAGCTACTTGTTATTCATTCATTATTTTTAGGATTATGTTACCCAACAGCGCACCTGTACTGTGGTTCCTGGTGGGGGTGAGGATATGGTAGCCTCTCACAAATACACAAGCCAAAATTCTGGTTACTATCCAGGGCGCTTGAGATCCAATTTATTTGTAAGTTGTTAAAGTACGAGCTCCCGTTTCTGCATTATTTAAATTCATACATTTAAATGTTATTCTGCGGTTAAGAGTTTAAACGTTTCAAATATTAGCAACAGCGACTCCCCCAAGATGATGCCACATGAGACCTAGGGAAGCCATTATGGCGTATTATTATGATAGAGAAAATGTATCCTATGCATTATTCTATGCATAATTTAGTGAGGGTGTTTTTTTATTTAAAGGTCGAATGCAGGGCTTTTATACCTCTCACAAGCCTGACTCGTACCAGGATGTCCTGACAGACAGCTCAGGTTTTTCCATTGGCTGGGGAATCGTTTTAGCATGTTTTCTCTTGTACTCATCCAATGACACAACTGAAAAGTAACTGTATGTGATGGACTCGTGACAAAAAAAAAATTGGACGTCGGCATACCATCCCCTGGCAGACAGCATGGTGGGAAGATTTAACAAAGCCCTCTCCACCACATGGTCCCACATAATGAATGGCTGTCAACAGCTGGGATAGGCACACAGACTCGGCTCGATGTGCCAATCGAACAACACCGCTACGGGGTATGCACTCTTCTTCCTGATGTGCGGCCAATGAAGTGCGTCCTCCTATGGAGGTACCATTGGCACAAGAACACCCACGGTGGTGACAATGGAAGCTGGAGCAGGAGTAATGTTGCTCACCCTCAATTCGGCTTGTGGTCAAGCAGCCAGAAATGCGGGAAAAACAGAAAGCACAGTTTGTGGAAGACCAGGAGCAAAATTCAGGTGCGCCGGACATTCAGGAAGGTAATAGAAAATGGCTTCACTGTATTACTTTAGGAATAGCAGCGACAATGCACCTAGGTCCGGTAGCCCGTATGAACGATACATCCGAGCAGATGAGAGCCCTCACAGGTAATTAAAGGGTGCACGCATTCTTGTTTAAGTGTGACATTGAATGTCATACACCCATGTCAACCTCACGGGACCTCCTTTGCCAGTGTCAAAATATAAGAATTAGGTTTTCCCCTTTTTTCTGGCAACAAAACAGTTGTGGCTCAACAATGTATTGCCCCATCGCATAGAGAAAGGCATTGTTTCTGTGCTGTGCATTCATACAAAGTCTGTGCTTGGTCACAGTTTACCATTTTGGGAAGAAAAAAAAAATGCCGCACATTTCATTATGATGAAGTGTTGGTGCATTTTCTTTGGGTCTTTCGGTAAGTCAGGTAGATAGGTTCAAAGAAAATAACAAAACTACGACGTTTTGACCGCAACATAAGCGGTCGTCATCAGGAAAAGGGGGTTAAGCCTCTAAAGGCAAACTGTTTATTAAGGTGTAAAAATGGGCATAGCCCAAGTGTCAGCAGCATGGGTGGGGTAGCTAATGTTAATGTAAGGGAATTCTAGATTTGAAGCTTTCGTGACTGCAAGGATTCATACTCTTTGCTTTTTTCGGTAAAGTCACGTAGGTAAAATAAAAGAAAACGATATTAAATCACGACGTTTCGGAGGCAACACAAGCTTCCATCTTCAGGTGGAACAGTCACAGCAAGATAGCTGCATCAAGTCTTGAGGTGGAACAGTCACAGCAAGATAGCTGCATCAAGTCTTGATGTAGCCATCTTGCTGTGACTGTTCCACCTGAAGATGGAAGCTTGTGTTGCCTCCGAAACATCGTGATTTAATTTAGTTCTTTTATTTTAAGTTTTATTTTACCTACGTGACTTTACCGAAAAAAAACAAAGAGAATGTAAGGGAAGTTGCTGCAAGAGGTGATGGTAGTTGTTGGTCGTAATGGTGCTGGTGGTGGGCTTCCACCAATAAAGGGAGTGGGCAGTAATGGTCCTGGTGGTTGGCTTCCACCAATTAAAGGGCTGCTAGAGGTGATGGTAGTAGTGGGTGGTGATGGTGCTCATGGTGGGCTTCCACCAATAAACGGCTACTGCTAGTGAAGATGGTAGTAGTGGGCAGTGATGATCCCGGTGGTGTGCTTCCACCATTAAAGGGCTGCCAGGTCTAAAATGGAAACATTACAGCCAGTTATGACTTAAACTGGTTGATAACGTCCTTCCAGTGATTTCTGAGTTTGTACCCATCTTCTCGGTTAAAATTGTGTCAATGTCTGTATATATAGATGGCTTCATGAACGAATCTTTGTTGATAGCCAGTGTGTTTGCAAAGTACCTTCGTCTTAGAGAAATAAATTTCGTGCGAGCCAACCGCATTAAAACAATGATCAGCCACAGCCGAGCTATTGTTCCCACCGTGTTTAAAAGTCCTGCCTTATGTTCACGAACACGGTCCGAGACATGTCGCTTAGTTTCCCCAATGCAACTACTGCCGAAGACAACTTAGTTTGTAGACGCCAGGGTATTGCATGTCAGGGATCACATCCTTCACAGATGGGATCAGATCGCGAATTTTATGTACTGTGTTAAATCGAACGTGGATCTTGTGTTTGCTCATGATTTTGGAAATATGTTTTTGGTGACCCCTGCTATGTATGGCAAGGTGATGGTTTTGATTGGGTCCTCAGATGGTTATTTCCCAACGGTTGGGGTGACAGCTTTATGGATTGTGTAGTCCGAATATCCATTCGTCTTGAGAGCTTGATGGCCATGTTCCAGTTCACTAGCTAGGTGATGGTGGTCAGAAATACATCATGCTCTATGGTGTAGAGTTTTGATGAGGGAATTCTTCTGGGATGGATGGTGGTAGAAGTTAGCTTTTAGGTAGGCATCCGTATGGGTGCTTTCCTGTAGACAGAGTGTCCCATTGAGCCATCTGGTCTCTTTTTGACTAAAACATCCAAGAATGGTAGCTTGCCATCCTCTTCCACCTCCATGGTTAATTTGATGGCTGGGTGTATGGAATTGATGTGGTTGAAGAATTTGTTCAGAGCTGGTTGGCCATATGGCCAGATGACAAACGTGCCATCTACGTACCTCTTCCACAGGGATGGACGTAGAGTGGATGCCTGGATGGCGTCCGTCTCAAAATTTTCCATGAAAACATTGGCGACAACCAGGGATAAGGGATAACCCATTGGGGTACCTTCAACTGGTTTGTAGAATGTTCCATTCCAGGTGAAGTAAGTTTTGGTGAGGCAGTGTCTCACCAGGGCTGGTACATCAGCATTCAGTCCTTGGACCAAATCTTCAATGATTGCAATGGTGTCAGGCACAGGAACTTTGGTAAACAAAGAGACTACATCAAAACTAACGAGCAAATCACCTGGCGATAGTGAGATCTCCTTAATTAACGATACCAAGTGAACTGAGTTAAGTATAGCTGAGGCAGTCTTACCAGTGAATGGTTGTAAGGTCTCATACAGAAATCGAGCCAGTTTGTAGGTGGGTGAGTCAATGGTGGAGATGATAGGACAAAGGGGTGTACCTTCTTTATGGATTTTTGGTAAGCCATACAATCTGGGTGGTCTAGCAGCAGAGGGTTTTAAGGAAAACCGCTTGGTTGGTTCGATTAATGAAGCCGAATCAGTGATGATATTGTTGGTTTTCGTAACGAGGCTGTTGGTGGGATCTCTTTTAATTTTGTATAGCTACCATCATTAAGTAGGTCCTGAATTGTGTTATTGTATGTGGTTTTGTCCATGATGACCATGGCATTGCCCTTGTCGGCTGAGAGGATGACGATGCCATCCCTCTTTTTTAATTGAGAAAGCCCAAAACGCTCATCTTTACTGATGTTGCTGATAGGCGTCTTATTTTGAGGATTGCAGCGATTTCCGATCTTGCCACGTCTGCAGTTATGTGTCCCAAACCCTTAAGGGCTACATCGACCTAGGCAATGATATCATCAACTGGGATGTGTTTAGAGGTGACTGCGAAATTCAACCCCTTAGCTAGAACCGATTTTAGGCTGTCGGAAATTAGACTATTACTCTTGCCAACGTCTAGCTTTTTAATGTGTGAATCTGGCTTCTTCTTGGAAAGGAGGTTGAACTTGGATATCAGGTTATCTTTGCATTTAGCTGTTGGTGCATTAATAAATGTGTGTATGTGTTTATTTTTACTTACATCAAACATATAATAACACATCTTCCCAGGCTTTCAAGTCAGATACATCTCATGCTGAAGACTCCCTTTAGAGACTTTGCCAAAAGACCCAAAGAATATCCCTTAGGCCACAGATGTTTCTCGTATCAATTGCTTAGATCTCAAACTGAAACAGATGGATACAGCTCATGTCTTAAAAAAAAGGGGTTGAGAACTGTGTTACTACAAGATTCAAAATGTACCCACCAGGTATCCCACTTAATTAGTTCTTTTCATGCTCTGAATTTTTGAAAAAGTCTGTAAATGTTTACATTTCATACCATATTTTGTAAACAAAAAATAATTATACATTTGTGTTGCGTTTCATTATTTGGTTATGTTTGGTGTGGAACTGAAAACAGGTTCCCCCGGGAAATTAGATCTCGGGGTTAAAAAAAAATCCTGGTTAAACAAAAACTATTCTTGATACTATCGACGTATTTATATTGCCACAATTCCTGGAATATGTGCTTCATCTTGTATTTGCTTAATTTTTCTTAAAATCATGTGGAAACGTCGAATGCAATGCATGCACATGCTTGATATATTCCGTAAAATCTATGATAATTTATGCTCTTACTGCCGTAGTCAATTTACGATAGAAATGTAACCTCCGATATTAAACACATGAATAGTATTTTTTTATTCAGATGACAAGTATACTGTTTCGATCTCTTATACCAGTTTAAAGTGGATTGCATAAATTCATTGTTAAAGTGACTTTGGTTAACCTTATAAAGACGTAATTTTTTTTTCATTTAATTAAATATGAGTAAGAGCACCTCCCAGGGCACTGACGAGACCCCTGGCCTTTCTACTGCAGCTGAATTTCACATCTTTATTCGAGCATTATAGATTTAAGTGGCCATGGATTGCACGTTGTCAAGTGATATAGACCAATTCCTTGATCCAGTTAAGTTAAGTATAGCTGAGGCAGTCTTACCAGTGAATGGTTGTAAGGTCTCATACAGAAATCGAGCCAGTTTGTAGGTGGGTGAGTCAATGGTGGAGATGATAGGACAAAGGGGTGTACCTTCTTTATGGATTTTTGGTAAGCCATACAATCTGGGTGGTCTAGCAGCAGAGGGTTTTAAGGAAAACCGCTTGGTTGGTTCGATTAATGAAGCCGAATCAGTGATGATATTGTTGGTTTTCGTAACGAGGCTGTTGGTGGGATCTCTTTTAATTTTGTATAGCTACCATCATTAAGTAGGTCCTGAATTGTGTTATTGTATGTGGTTTTGTCCATGATGACCATGGCATTGCCCTTGTCGGCTGAGAGGATGACGATGCCATCCCTCTTTTTTAATTGAGAAAGCCCAAAACGCTCATCTTTACTGATGTTGCTGATAGGCGTCTTATTTTGAGGATTGCAGCGATTTCCGATCTTGCCACGTCTGCAGTTATGTGTCCCAAACCCTTAAGGGCTACATCGACCTAGGCAATGATATCATCAACTGGGATGTGTTTAGAGGTGACTGCGAAATTCAACCCCTTAGCTAGAACCGATTTTAGGCTGTCGGAAATTAGACTATTACTCTTGCCAACGTCTAGCTTTTTAATGTGTGAATCTGGCTTCTTCTTGGAAAGGAGGTTGAACTTGGATATCAGGTTATCTTTGCATTTAGCTGTTGGTGCATTAATAAATGTGTGTATGTGTTTATTTTTACTTACATCAAACATATAATAACACATCTTCCCAGGCTTTCAAGTCAGATACATCTCATGCTGAAGACTCCCTTTAGAGACTTTGCCAAAAGACCCAAAGAATATCCCTTAGGCCACAGATGTTTCTCGTATCAATTGCTTAGATCTCAAACTGAAACAGATGGATACAGCTCATGTCTTAAAAAAAAGGGGTTGAGAACTGTGTTACTACAAGATTCAAAATGTACCCACCAGGTATCCCACTTAATTAGTTCTTTTCATGCTCTGAATTTTTGAAAAAGTCTGTAAATGTTTACATTTCATACCATATTTTGTAAACAAAAAATAATTATACATTTGTGTTGCGTTTCATTATTTGGTTATGTTTGGTGTGGAACTGAAAACAGGTTCCCCCGGGAAATTAGATCTCGGGGTTAAAAAAAAATCCTGGTTAAACAAAAACTATTCTTGATACTATCGACGTATTTATATTGCCACAATTCCTGGAATATGTGCTTCATCTTGTATTTGCTTAATTTTTCTTAAAATCATGTGGAAACGTCGAATGCAATGCATGCACATGCTTGATATATTCCGTAAAATCTATGATAATTTATGCTCTTACTGCCGTAGTCAATTTACGATAGAAATGTAACCTCCGATATTAAACACATGAATAGTATTTTTTTTATTCAGATGACAAGTATACTGTTTCGATCTCTTATACCAGTTTAAAGTGGATTGCATAAATTCATTGTTAAAGTGACTTTGGTTAACCTTATAAAGACGTAATTTTTTTTTCATTTAATTAAATATGAGTAAGAGCACCTCCCAGGGCACTGACGAGACCCCTGGCCTTTCTACTGCAGCTGAATTTCACATCTTTATTCGAGCATTATAGATTTAAGTGGCCATGGATTGCACGTTGTCAAGTGATATAGACCAATTCCTTGATCCATTGTTCACCAGAGAGCACCACTAATATGCGTAATTCTAATTTCCCACTTGACCACGTTTAATAACCTTTCTCGATGTTGAAGCATGGACAAGTTTACACCCCTAGAATAATTACGGTGGGAAAATAAATACAAACGTAGGGGTTTCACTTCAAGAATAAATGAGCAAATTTATATGAATTATTATTGCTTCACTGGTGATGCAAATCGTGGCTTCCCAAACGCTCAAGCTCCATCCAATTTCTCTTCATGAAAAGCACAGTATACTGTACACACATTAACATTATAACGTCAACTGTGAAATATTAAGCGATCTTAATCATCATCAACCGTGATTAATCCACTGCTGGATGAAGTCTTCGCCCAATGTGTCACCATCTCTCTCGCACGATGCAACAATCCACCCAGCCACCTTCACGTGCCAATCTCATCTATTGGTAACTTGAATCTTTTAAACTTCACAAATTGATTTTGTTGTTGCCATTACGGCATTGCTATTTGGCATTGCTGTGATAGTCCGGTGTCACTTGCGGGCCGTTGACCTCTGGGTGCGCCGATTTTGTGCCGCAGATGGAGTTTGGGATTTGTCTGATGCAGAGCCGCCTCCTCCCCGCGCAGGGCAGCGTGCTGCACGTCGGCACCGCGGTGCTGCCACGATGCAAGGATTCATCCCCTTAGCACCATGGGCTACAGTCGCCGCACACGCTCGAGGCTTCACTTTAACAACCCCTATTTGCGCTTCTGCGGCCGTCTGGAATGCTCTTCCTTCCGATATTAGGAAGCCACTGGAGCTATGCACTTTTCAATCTAGATTGAAAACTCATTTCTTAATTAACTGATTTGTGTTTAGTCTATGGTTGGCTACATATGGTGCGAAAGAAGCTCAACATATATACAGAGTGAGTGCACAGGGCATTACGGCAAGATGTCACACTTATAAAAATTGTACCGCCAATGCAGTGTTTCTGAATAATTTTGGTTTGATCACTTGGATTTGATTACGTCCCTATAATCACTCAAATTTGTAAAAAAATTATATAATCTTTAAAACTGCAAGTGATGATACACTAAAATACTGGTATGAAAATGTACCATAATCATGTTAATGTGATCGTGTGCTTGGGATGGATTTTTTTAAAAAATTGTTAACATTCTGTGTTAAAGCACTGTTAATTTATATTTCTTAAAAGAGCAGCTTTAATATATGTTTACCTTGATTCATGATGCGTTAATGTAAATAAATGTCAGCGTTTGCCAAGAGTAATTGCGTTTGTGGGATGAATCGTAAATGTTGAAAGGGACACATGACATCCACATCGATTGCTTTTAATATTTTGTATATGCTTTTCATGTTTCACAAATAATTATAAAATAACACTTTTATATGCCTCTATTTAGATACAGAACTCCTCTTATCTAGAACTCTATCACTTCTATTCTACCGATTGAGGATTTTGCCATCCTGTATTTGAGGAACGGCTTCCTATTCTCCACAATTATTTCACGGATAAAGACTACATTTTTGCATCATAGGATCAGCGATGTATCCCTTACATAACTGTAGATAAGAGTTGTATTGTATTATAATGCAAACCATTTTCACCTTTTTGCATTTCACACTTTTCACTCCTTTTTACGGAGGAGCTATCCTGTAAATCAATCTGAACATGAAAAAGGACAAACGTATCATTCATCTTTCAGCTTTTAACTATTTTAGCTCTGAAGTTTATCTTAACATAAATACAAGTGAATATATATTTTTTTGTAAATGTCAGCACTTTAGCAATGAAATTAAGTGACCTGGAAAATCACATGCTGCCACTCGCTCCCCTCCGACCTGAATTTTGAACCTTCAAGATGGCGTGACATTTTGATAGAAGAGGTCCAGCGAGCTCGCATTGGTCAAGTAAATTTGTGAGCCGTATATCTCATTGCCATGTCTTCTCTAAATCAGCACTGGGAAAGCTACTGGCAGTATTTCTTACGCTGCTGACATATATACATTATTTTTCGTCTCGCATCACGAGACCCGCTGGAGCACCTCCCTGCCTCCCACCACCGGCGATGGCCACAGCCTCATGCAGTGACCTTTACTCCTCATGTGCAGCACGTAGATGTGCGGTCTATTTATGTCAATGGATGAGATTCTTCCCTACACCACGCGTAGTTTGACCATACCTCACTGCCCTGGGTTGGTGAAGGTGGTGAGCATAGAATGTGGGGAGCACAGACGTACAGTACAACTGTGAATTTGCTTGCACTGCCCTCCGCTGCCCCGCAACCTACAACAAAACACCCTGGTTTTGCACGTTAGTCACCCGTTCGAACACTATCCCAACTCAACCCTGCTTCGACCTACTGAAATTTGATGAGATCGGGGGTACATTCTCTGGGCGATTTGGTCTTGAGCCATATTCTTCATGCAGTTTATAAAGTCAAGCACATCCCAAATGTGCGGTAAACCAATAGCAGCCTGGCAGCTATGCAGCAGCACAGAAGCAGCAGTGCCTCAAAATCTGACATGATTCTGTACAACTATCAAAGCAGCCGAACTGCAGCCAGAGAGGGCGACATTTCATGGTTTCTGTCCCTTGGGAGAAAATTATTCGTTGTAAATTTTACACGAGGCACTCGTTTTGGTTCACAGTCATTACATCGACCATGTTCATTGCAAAAGCCCGAATGGCAGCCTGAAAACAAGCCACTTGATATGCTGCCCTGTGTGTATGTTGAACTTCTTTTGCACCGTACGTAGCCGACCGTGCTCATCGGGAGGTGCCCTGTCTGTAATAAAGGCCATGGCCGTGTAAGCCCGGCACCTCGCCAGCTTTGTGCACTCCCGCCAAAAAAAATGCACACGCTCATTTATAATCGTTGAAATGCAAAAAAAACTATAGCACTATGATGAATCGCTCGATGCAGTTTGGTGGATAGCTTAATCGCGTCGCTTTGGGCGTTACAATTAGATACGTGCCAAAATAAAAAAATGGGCGTTGCCCACTTAACCTCTCCTTTAGCTTTACAATTCATATTTAAAAAAAAATCACTCGAAAGCGAGTGCAAATAACCGCGGTGATTAACAATACACGGTACAGACGGTACAGTAATTTGGCAACGGCTTGTGGCAAAGCAGGGGAGAGAGCGATTGAACGACATTGGCGCGGTTGGCACCTCCGATTAGCGCGGTCGGTCTACGTGCGGTGCGAAGGAAGTTCACACACATTAAGAGCGACCCTCCCCGCGCCCCCCATAAACTATAACAGCCCTGGGCCCCCCATTAAAAAGGTCAACCGACGGCTGCCGACGCTGGGAAGTCGGCTGCTTTGCTTTGAGCTCCGCCTGCTGCTCACGAGGGTTCAGCGCAGGCGATTCTCGGGCCCCGATGAACGCGGGTCCCTTCTTTGCGTTTGGCATCAAAGCGGTGAAAATGACCAAGTTGAGGAGTCTCAAAGCATTCATGGAATATTCAAAACCCACCTTGGGAGTCAAATTAATGCTGCGACCAAAATGGATGATAAAAAAAAGTTAGCCTAGGGAGAATGCAGATTCAAAAGTGAAAGAAACACGCTTGTTGGGTTTTTGGTCAGTTCAAGTATTCTAAATCTTAGTTACAAATCGTGTAACTTGTTCACTTTATTTTAATATACAGTACGTATAAACCTACACGTAGATGTACTTACTACTTGTTGTCAATCCACCGCTGCCGGAAGGCATCCTCATGCCGTGCGGCTTTGGGTTGTGGCGGGTTATTTTACCATGCTTTCGCCTGACTGGTCTGGGTCGGCTTGGCGAACAAGGGGAGCGTAGACATTGCGGCGAAGTACGGTACAGCAAATAGGAGTCACCTTGGGTGGCATACAAGAATAATGCCGCAGTGTTTTTGTGATAACTGAACCAGTCATACCCCCCCCCCCCACTCTTCACGAACCAGCATGGGGAAATATAGTCAAACAACCACCACTGGGCCAGCATTATGAAGCATGGTCAAATAACCCTCATGAACAACATGCACTATGGGGAGGCCTTTATCCAATGTGGATTACCGTGGCTGCCGATGGCGCTAATACCCAGCATTCACCAGCAGCAACGATTAGCTGCTTGTCTTTATTAAATTAACCAAAGTGTGCATTTAAAATGTAAATTTCCGATTTTTTATTATTAAAATAATATTTAAAGAGTGTAAATTATGTACTAAGAAAATTATGTTACACTGCTCACTAATCAGTGCTAATCAAGGAGGAATTAATGTTGGGGCGGGGGGGCAGAATTGAAGTGTTTTTTTGTATCTTGTAAAAAAGAATGGACGTGATTTTGTAGTTTGTATAATTTCTGGGGATTGACACTGGCACTGTGATGCCATCCACATTATTCTGTTCCCCAGAACCACACGGAACATTGCGACATACTTCTGCCGCACAAAAAAGTGTCAGAACGCATCATCGCACATTTTTTTATATTACAAATAAATCGTCCGCAAAAGTTAATGTAGCTGTATTATAAACACCATTAAGGGAGCCTGTTGCACAATTCACTCATCTGAGATTTTTTTTATTTAAAAAAGGCGCAAAAATAACCTCTGATAAGGTTAACTATGCCCAGTTCATTTCGGAGATTCTGCCAGAATGAAAACTACAGCTCTTTGTGCGAGGCCTCCTGCCCATCACCTCAGCTGGATTTGCTCAAGCGCCGACGACGAGGCACTGGTACGTTCATGCCCACTGCAGCGTGCGCTCATTTGCGTCTGGGCAATCGGTGCGTGTTGGGTTGAAGAATAACTTGCGGTGCGCTCATTATTAAACTCGTGGCCTTTGGCCCCGGCTTGGCACTGCCTTTTTACGGAGAGTGCTTCTATAGGTTTACGCGTCTCTGGTAGCCGAGAGCAACAAGCGCTGGCCTGTCAAACCCGAATGACATCACCGATCACACAATTGCCTTGGCTCATTTCTACGGCCTCCCGGTGACTACAGGACTTCACCGAATGTCATCTGGCACAGACATGTGGGCGGGGGAAGGCGACTCGATCGTTCACTTTCATTAGATACACCTTCCACGGCATGAATTGGCTGTAAAAAAATGGGACTTGCTGACTTTATTGGTCGTGATATTGTGACAGCATTAGCCGAGTCATCGGTTACAATTGCAGTGTTGTGCTGGTGAAACAACTGTTAAATCAAGAGCATTTTGTGAAAACTTTCATTTGGGGAAGAATGTGGTTCATTACATGACAGGATAGTGTGAGATGGCGCTGGCTTGGAGAGGCCTCCAACCAGCAGTGAATTGATCATGTCTGCTGATGATGATCAACAGTGGTTGACATGTCACATGTGCCCCACCATAGGAATGTGGAATTACCAACAATGGCTCAGAATCATCAAGGAATATGAGCGCCGCTCAAGTTTTGTTTATGTGAATGCACTTTGATGATTGTATTCATCCAGGTCACCCTTGCAAAAGAGGCAATGTATATCCTTAGTTCTTTCGGTAAAGTCACGTTGAAGGGAAACAATAAAATAATGAAATATATAAAACAATAAAAATTCTCACGTTTCGACCACAACACAAACGGTTGTCATCAGGTGTGTCGGTTTGCATAAATGTATTTATTTTTAAACGGGGTATTTATTTATAAAAAAAAAACGTTAGCGCCACGCCAAATCGCTGTGCGTGGCGCTAACGTTTTATAAAGTAAATAAATAAATACCCCGTTTAAAAATAAATACATTTATGCAAACCGACACACCTGATGACGACCGTTTGTGTTATGGTCGAAACGTCGTGAGAATGTTTATTGTTTTATATATATTTTATTATTTTCTTGTTTCCCTTCAACGTGACTTTACCGAAAGAACTAAGAATATGAATTACTGCAGTCACGAAAGCTTTACATCAAAAGACAATGTATAATTTATCTCAACGGGCCTGCATTTTCATCTAGTTAAATTAATGATACAAGTACTTCATTAAACCAAACAAATAATGTCAGCAAATGGCCATGTCTGCGTTTCACTGAACTCTCATTCAAAGCGAATTCTCCAGCACAACTGAACATATTTACACGACTGAATGTGTCAACAAAGACGTGCTCAAGAAACACGAGGATTTGTGCCTGGGGATAGTCAGACGAGCGCAGGGACAGGGTTTGTTCCCCACTCCGACACACTCACTCACAACAGATGGGGGGGGGGGGAAGTGTTTTATATTCATAACAGCTGAGGGTAAGCTGCCCTATTCCCCGGAGCACATTGGAATTAGTTTAATGGAATATAATGTATACATAACACGGGGGTAATGCTCCCGAGCTGCCCACCGAGTGATGACAGCCACCCTGGAGTATCGAGCCACGCAACACTTACCCAAGGCACTTCGATTGAAGCAAA